TAAATTATAAACATGTTATTCGCATCTAATTGACTTGTCCCTATGGTCCCTATGCAAACCTACGCCCATGGGTCTGCAGAAATAAGAAAGATTTCAGCTAACTGACTAAAAGCTAAACTGTGTTTCAGAAGGATTGACTAACAGGACTGAAAAAAAAAACAATTGTCTCAAAATCTGAAGAACTGAGAATCAGGACACTTTAAAAAGATGCACCTGAAGCTTGGATCATAGGGAGGAGATTGATGGATCAGACTGTGGAAGAGAGCAGAACTCCTGCAGCACCTTCAGCTGACAGTTTATCTGCCAGCTTTGAACATCTACAGACTGATGGTTTCTGATCATTTCTTCAGTTCAGGTTCAGTCAGATCAGATGCAGATCTTCTCTGAACATCACTTTTAAATCTCGCCACAGATTCCTGAACTAAACTCCAGCGTTGGTTCTCCTGGATGGGGAACCTCCTGGTTTTAGTTCCCCTCACCAGCTGACCAGCTTTCCTGTCTCTGCTGGAGAAAGGCGTCCCCACAGCATGATGCAGCCACCACTATGTTGAACCTGCACCTGTGACGAAGCTTTTCTTCAGCAGGTACAACATTTAGGGATATCACGTATTTAACATTTCTCCTTATTCATTGTTTTTCACTCTACAATTAGTCAACACTTCTAGTTTATCTGCAACATAAAACCCGAATAAAAAAACTGATTTGTGGCTGAAGTGAGGCAGCGTTTGTCTGGGTGTGAATAGTTCAGGGCTCACCTGCTATCAGGTAGGACAGGGTTCGGACTGTGTTCTCCAGCTGGGCTGTAGCTGCAGGGTTTTTCCTCACAAACTCCGTGTAGCGCTCATAAAGACGCCTCACAGCATCGCTATACTCCTTAAACTGCGACATTTCAGCTCAGACTGAAGGAATAACTCCCCATTCAGCTAAAACTGGAAACGTTTGCTGCACTTTCACTTCAGATTTTACAAACAAACAAACTTCCGGGATTTTTCTTTCTTCTTCTTCTATGGTGTTTAATGGCACTTTACAGACTATGTGTATTACCGCCATCAAGTGGACATAGATGTAATTCAGAAAAAAAAATCCCTCTATATATCTTCAAATCTTTAAAAACAAAAAGGCTAAATTAAATACATACATACACTCACACACACATAAATACTAAATCCTCTCATCTAATTTTGTGTCTTTTAAATACTTAATAAGTGCTTTAACTATATCATGTGATTGATGTTTCCCTAATAAACCAACCATATTAACTTAACTCCCCATTACCCTTTCCAGTTATTTCCTCTCTTTTATATATTTTCTACAATAAATGAACACATGTTCTACTCCTTCTTACGGAGCCCATCTGGTGACATTGGCAGAACATTTTTTTTTTGACCACAACTTACTAAGTTATGGCCACAACTTATTAAGTCGTGGCCACAACTTATCTTAGTAAGTTGTGGCCACGACTTCATAAGTTGTGGTCACATGGAAGTAAAATAGATTTTAACTTTGATCAAACAAGTTGCTCCGCTAATCCTTTTGTCCTCCACCAAGCTGCACTGAAC